GTGCAGCTCCCCGTGCAGCTCGCGTGCAGTGCAGTGCAGTGCAGAGCAATGCAGTGCAGAGCGATGCAGTGTACTGCAGTGCAGTGCAGCGCAGCATTCTGCAGGGCAGCGCTCCAGCGTAATGCAATGCTGGCAGGGGCAACGCAAGGCTGTGCAGCTGAGCCTTCTGCACGGTGGTGCAGGGCAATAGTGGGGTAGCGTAGTTAGGTCCATGCTCCATGTTGCAGCGTGAGATTCAGTGCACTCCACGGGGCTATGGTTGCATTGCTGCTATTAAAGCCAGGCACCAGGTCCCCAGCTCAGCAAGGCCCCTCATTCTCTCCAGCCTGTGGCTGGGAGTCCTGTGCCTGGAGGAGTTTGCTCCAGGCCATGAGGCTGAAATCCTGCTGCCCAGAAGCAAAGGTCTGCCAGCAGCTGGTCCACTGCAGCCAGCCCATCCCAGCACTCGATGAGTGCTGGATTTCATTTTTAATATGCAACGTGACCTTTTTCCAGCTTTTCAGTCCACAAGCACCGTACCACAGAGTATCCCCACATTTCTAGTTTAGAGACTAGTAAAGAAACATCTACCACCACCGCCAGGGATAACAATTGCCTGGGGTTTTGTAGTGCTTCATCTTGCAGCTCCGGCTGCTTTCCAAGGCAGTCAATTCTAACAACGGCCACTCAAACAGAAAGCTGTGTGTCCTGGCTCACCCTGCAGCTTGGTGGCAGCGGGGGAGAAGCTGGCAGGTGCCTGGTGCCCTCAGTTAAACCCAGTCCCTGGGGCTGCTGCAGGCTTTCCACAGTACAGAAAAGTACCCAGAAAAGCAGAGAAAAGCATCCTCACCTTCTCACAGGAAGCAAAATCTATTAAAACAGGAGTGGGTTAAACTCCGTTTTGCTTTAAATGGGAATTTACACAGGACATTCAGCTAAAGTGTTGCATGGGCATCTGCTGTGAAGAGCGGAAATTTTTTATATCGCCACCTGCCACCTACGGATACCATAAGCACTCTTCCCCCTTGCAGGCAAGGGGAACATCCCGGCAGCGTTTCAAGACATCCTGGCAGCTAATTGCAGCACATGTCTCCTTTGGACTGAGGCAGAATAATTTCACCTGCAGTCTTTATGCACAAATCTGTCACACAGTCAATACAAGAAAACAATTTTGTCTTCTAAGTCTTTTCAGCTTCTGGCTATTTATAGCATCACTGTTACATAAGGATATTCAAACATAAAGCAACACTTCTGTTTGAAAACAAGCAGAAACTTCCTTTCTGTAAACAAGGACTCAGTAATACAACATATCTGTTTGAAACTACTTTTATTAAAACTGTGTATATGGCTTTTGATTGGCAGTTGTGTGATAATCAGTAATCAAGTGTACAGCTTGCAAAGATGTACAAATGCCATTAGTCACTGGCTTTACAGAACTTAAAAAAATTTTTTAAATGGTTTAAGCCTGATAACCAAGTTATGCCCCTGTAGGTGACTCTCTGCAAATTGGCAATTCTACTGAAGGGTTAATGTTTCAGTACTGGCCAGAAGAAATTTAAAGTCCCTCTTTACTGTCTTGAAAATTCTAGAAGCAATGAGTTTGTATGTGGAAGTTGGATGTACATCATTTGGGGGACCTTGGAGGATGCCCCTAAGAAACAGGGATGAATTTAGGAATTTATACCTAGGTAATAACGCAGTATGCCACAACAGCACAAGAGTGGGTGAAACAAGGAATGCAAAGTGTCTGTTCACTATTGGAATATTTTTTTAGTTCAGGACTCTCAGCACCAACAAGAGGGAGCAGATGCCTGAGAATGACTGAAAACACTGCTGCGAGAGAGGTTACTCCTCCAACACCAAGTGTTTTAAATAAATCCTCACAGGCAGCCAGCCAGTTGGTGCTTTAGGGTGAATACTGGAAATAGGAACATGAGAGATGCACTGGCCACCCCTGCACCTCTTACTTCAGGCCCCAGGTGAGGCAGAGCAGCTCCTCTCCTTCCATTCCCCTCTGCCTTGCATAGGGAGAGGTCGGGGCTGTTCTCACAGTTCGTGCCTACACCACCGCTTAACTGAATTTGAAATGTGAGTATTGAAACGGCACATTCTAAAATATTTGCTTATCCTGGCCTCATTGTGTTGATAATTTGAAGACATTTAAACACATGGATAGATAGATAACCGCTTAGTTTAAGAAACCTAGACATAAACAAGAATCAAGAGTGGCCCTGTTAATTCCCACATGTAAAAGGCACTAAAATTTTCCAGACTATATTCTATTTTCTGAAAGTAATAAGGTATTCAGGGTATGCCTGAATGTCATTAAATATTACAAACATTACTGGATTATTCACATTATCAACCACGCTGTCATAGAGGTCAGTAGGATCTGCTGGGTTTTTTGGTGGTGGAGTGATGAGTCCTCCGCTCCCAGCACAGTACTGCCCCGTGAGGACTCGAGCCAAGTACATGTATCTTCTGCCATTCATATCTGGGATGGAATAAGTATCCTGAGCAGAATAACTCGCATCAACAGCAAAGTAGGTTCCATTTCCAATGACTGCAGCTGTTTGGAAAGACAATGTTTTCAAGTGTAGTTAGTGTTATTATTCCCATTAAGAATCTCTAAAGCTCCCCCCCGCCTTTTAATTTTTTTTTTAACACTCTGCAGAAGTTATAATTTTGGTTAGAGTTTAACAGCAAGTTCTAGAATAATAATCCTTTGCATCAGAATCAAACATGAATCCACTTAGATGTCAGGTAAGTATCAACACCCAGGTTTTGACCGCCCTTTCCTATGGAGAAAAGGTTCCTTTCTCTGTTTTGCCTTATGCAATCTATCAAATTGCAAATTTTCAGAGCCTTTTCAACTTAAAATGACTATATAATTGTAATTACAGTTTTCTAGTTACACTTCAGAGCAAGAAGTTAGAGGAATCACATTTCCTTGTCTGAGATAGATTTCTTTTTTCTGACATCGGTAGAAAGCTCTTCAGGCTGGACAGGTCCATCCTATCTGTCAGGTCCATCCTATCTGTCTGCTCTGATCTTTGGATATTTTTGCATGGCTACTCAGCCTGACAGAAGGGAAGTGTGCCTTTCTTACCATGAATCGTGGCCAAGATAGAGAGGTGGATGTCAATACTCACAGGCAGAGAGAGGACATGGGGATCTAGAGCTCTTGCTTCCCAAGTCCTGGCACTACCAAAGAGCAGGAGAGCAAAGCTACATCTCCTTCGGTCACGTTTTAAAAATAAATGGTGGGTACCATTTCTGTCTGTGCACAGCCTGATGTATTTTGTGTATGCTGGGCTTCATTTTCTCAAGAAAATATCAGCATAAGTACCTCTAGAGGATCCAGGCAGAGAAATATCTGCTTTTGGATCCAGACCACACTGAAGTGTCAACTAGATCTGAGGTAAGCTGTCCATCTCTCTCAAGATTAAGTCAGCCATAGGCATGTACAATTGTGTCTTAAGGAAGTAAACATTAAGAACAGAAAGTAAGGAGTTCTGAAGTAAGGTTGCAGGACCTCTAAGAGCGACTGGCACCTCAATTCAGCCGAAGTTCCACTTCTTTGGATTCTGTGCTTCATCTTTGAATGCTACCAAGTAATAAACATAACATGGCTGAACTAGAGGAAATGGACAAAACAACCTTTGAACTAATGCAGAAAGTCTTTCTGATAAATATTTCATAGTTTTCCCTAACAACTATTAAAGGGGAAGAATTAATTCATGAATTTCAATTGATTTCACGTGCATAAAAATGGTAGGGGAATGGGATCTTCTGATTGCTTGTGCTGTCCTTATCTTTGGAGCCAACAGGAGAAGCATCTACTTTGCTACCGGCCTTTGTCTAAGGAGAGAGGAGATATCAGCAACTAGTGGTTGGTATCTCAGCTGAGGATGCTGAACAGCGGTCCCTCTTCCTCTCTGCAGGCAGATGATACAAAACATTTCTCACAAGCTGCCCAGGCTCCATTTCAGAGTAGGTGAGCTGTTCCGGATACCCTCTAGATGGCGGCGTTCATCAACAAGGGATTAACTCAACCGGTTCATTCCTCTGTCCATGCGGATTATGCTCTGGAGTCATTTATTATTTTGTTCTCCAACTTTATTCAGTCTTCATGTTGTGCTGACAGTACTATAACCTGGACATTCCCTAGCACCTCATACACGTCTAGGAAATTAACTGCTTTGGATAATGACTCACCGTTCTTTCCAGCAAAACCACGATTAAATCCATTGTAGTTGATTGTGCTCAATGAGGATGCAGCTGTCCCGTGAAATAACAACTTCTCATTATTTTGATTTTTGTTCTTTTTACCGAGAGAGATTTTTTTAATTTGGTATGTCTGCCAGAGGAAGGGATTTTGTATTCTTTCAATCTGTAAAGTTACGAAATAGAACTATATTTATACTGATAGGGAGCAATATTTATCATGGCAGGAAAGTATTAAAACCAAACGAAAATAATTACAGTAATTTTCACTATGCCCTGTTAGTGTGTGGTTTGGGTTGGGGAACGTGAGCCTCCTGAAAAATCAGAAATCAAAGTAGCAAACACGAGGTTTTCCAGCTTGGTAATTTTTGGCATATATTTGTCTTGCCTAGTACAGGTACACGGGCAATCGTGGTAGCTGTGCATTGTAATTTTTAGAAGTAGGCTCTTGTACTGCTGCTAGAGGCAATGATGTAAGATGCCTTCTGAACAGCCTTATCATCTTTACTGATTATTTTCTCACTTAAGGGAAGAGTGTAGCGATATCATTACGTTGAATTTAAGTTTCTCTTCTAGATCTCAGCTTGGAAGTCAAAATTACTTCCTTTACTGTGTGGCTTAGCAACCCATAAGAAACTCCTATATAAAAATAAATTGGTGGGAGGATAGATGTCACTGGCTCCCTATGCCAACAATGTGAATATAGCTCAGGGGGATACAGCGTATCTGCATCAAAGTATAATCTTAAAGGCACTGCTGTAACAGCTTTCCATTTTCAATGGAAAAAGACTTCATGTCATTACCCGACTTTTTCTATTGTACACTAATATTTTGTTCTATTTGTGTCTTAGTGACCATGCTCATTGAATCTCATGATAGAAGAAAATTTTTCAAACACATATTCTCATTCTTAATTTCATCATATTTTCTCCTAGTTATTGCTCCTTCTTATTCGGAATAATTCCATCTTCTCCCTGACAATTAAATCTCTGTGCACTGTGTTGCAGACTTTTCAATAAGCAGGATCAAATCTTGACACTTTGGTTAAAACCAACAGTCTAGCCTGAAAGGCTCTGGGACTGACAGGGAAGAAGTAGTAAAATAGTAAAAAGCTTTATGGCCAGTCTTCAAGGACTTTGTATTTTCTTTTGTATTCTGAATGTGTTTGCTCCTGCTTCCATTTCAATATAGAATTTTCCAATTGGAAATACCACATTAACTAATGAGTACCACATTAGTTGAACACAGAGTTAGCCCAAAGACTGATGGTCGGGAGTTTTGCATTATCAGAAGGCAGAAATGACAGGGCAACTCTTAGGAAATTTGATTTGATTTATATTCACCCTGTAGAGTCCTGGAAAGACTGACATATGAAAGGTGTACTAGGTTGCAGGCACCTTACAAATATTTAAAACAAATATTTAGAAAAAATTTTAAACAAATATTTAGAAAGTATATTAAAGTTTTCAGACCAAGAATTCCCTTTCCCCCTCCCCCCCAATAGGTTTTCACCTTCTCTACGACAAAGCTGGGACAGGTTTTCTTAAATTTATTCTCAACTTCCAGGTATTCATGATATGATGGCTTGAGATTCACCAGTTTGACCCGTTCCTCATGCATGTCTTCCCACTGCTCAGGAAGCGCTATTGACTGCTTATCTGCAAAAACAGAGTTTGCATTATTATCACGGGTGCCTAGCTCAGCTTTGTAGGCACGCCTCATAAACTGACTGGAGAGGGCTGAGAGGACTGTACCTTACACAGTCAATACTTTATCCCCCAAATATTCTCTCTCTTCAAGACATCACTGGCTCTGTAATGCACTGTTAAGAATTTACATTTTCTCTAGTCTAGTTATCCCCATCTAAGACAAGTTTGAAATCCACAGAAGAATTTTATGCATTCTTCATACGCTTCCTTTGTCAAACTTAAGCATGAAATCTATGCTCACGAGTCACATACATACAGATGATATTTGTATTTAAAACGGATGTTCTGATTTCAGTCATAGTCACCACTAATGATGAAAATAAACCTGCTGGCTATGGCATGCCCGGGGCGGGGGGGGGAAGAAACAGAAAAAAAAAACAAAGAAAAGGGGGGAAAAAAAGGAAAAGATCTATGGAATAGCTTACTACTTTGGAATACCTGAGTTAGCAGTTATTAGAATTATCATTCAATAATCATTATTAAAGTTTTTTTTATTAACAAAGCTGTAATTTACCTTCATTCTTTGGCACACGTTGAATGATTATAGTTTCTCCTTGGTCATCATTAGCCTGTAGAGTATTCAGATCCACCTTGTAGTCCTTCTTGTTAATTTTGACAGTAAGATGTGATTTTTTAGCTATTTTGGCATCCTCAAGGTGCATATTTGTCAGTTTATCAAAAGCAACAAAGCTATCATTGCTTCCTGGATACCTCCATTCTACCAGGTTATAAACAAGTTCCGCTTTGGATTGTTCTTCTTGAGCATCCTTCATTTTTTGGATCATTTTTTGAATTTTCACAGAAACATAAAAGACATCCCTGCTAATACCAGAAATTTTAATGCAAGGGGGGAAAAGTTTACTTTCAAGCTGAATGGTAACATGCATTCTTCTCTGGAGATCTGCTAAAGTATCAATTTGACTCTCACCAAAATGTACAATTAGCTCATCTGAAATACTGTTTTCAAGCTGTTCCTTTAAAATTAAATTCTTTATCCACGACTCAGTTGCATCCACATTTTTTTGGCTTTCTCCACAAATTTGAAATGTGGCTACATCAACTTTCTTCTCCAAAACCACAGGCTTTTTCTTCTCAGTGGATGGTTTTTTGCCCCAAAAAAATGCTGTGAAGAAATATATGTTAATTATTAGTTTTAAATAAAATATTTTTAGTTTTATGTGCCCATGCACATGGAAAACCCACCTACTTACATTTAAACATAGACATCCATGAATCTCTTGTGGGTAAATCTGAATCTTCTCTTTTCTTCATGCTTTCGTAAAAGTCTCTGAGCATATGTGTCTGGAAGATGACGATTTTAATTTTTTTCAAATACTGTACTGATCTTTTGCTTACAAATTCCACTATAGCATCCAACATGTCATCAGCTACCTTTGCTGGGCTCTGTCCTGCCTGACCTAAATAAAAATAAAAGTCACATATCAGTGAACAGTACTTAAATCAAGGCAGCATCCCAAAAACAGAGACTATGTCCCCAGCTGGTGTCCCTCTGTCCTCCCTCATGGTACTTTCTGGCCAAAGCCCCAGGCTTAACCTCAGCTTTACACCTAAGCCTGTGAGCTCCAGGAGTTTACATCCTACATAGACCCAGGAAGCTCTTCTGGGATTCTCCACCCATTTACTTTGAGGCTCCAACAAGCACTTCAGCCTTGGCATCCCCCAGATATTTTTAAACCCACACATCACTAACTCTATCCCCATCTTAAAAACGGGTACCGAAGTCAAACCAAATCAAAATCAGCAGAGGATTCTGGCACAAGCCTACAGTGTATTTCAACATACAAATAGGAACATCGAGCTCAAAACAACTGCTCTCATTCCCCTAGAGCAAGCCTGAAGTGCAACCTAGAGCTTCTCCTGAAATGTTGGTGGGACCCCTGCCAATTTCAGACACGGCATCCCTTGGACAGCTGGCGTGACACCAGCGCGCAGATGATGTTGGCAGTCCAGGGGACCTGCCGTAACTATTACGTCCAAACACTGACCTGTGCACCAGCGGCTACCCTAACCTGGCATGCTGAGCAAGGACCAGCTCGCGATTTCTTCTTACAGGAAAGGGGAGCCTTAGTCTGAGAAGGACACCCTGCTTTCTTCAAGCCTCACTCCCCAGACTAACCAGCAGATTAAGCCAAATGAGCTAGCCTGCCTCTAGCCCTCCACTGGAGCAGATGGGCTGAAACAAGACCTCTAAAAGGTGTAAATTGCAGGTATTCTTGCTCAATCACTATTGACTGTAATATTTATACTTTTTTAAAAAGCAGCATTTTTGAAGTGTGCAGGTGGTGTTTGAACTGACCACAAGGAACATTTCACAAATCACAGTTTACAGTTTCTTGTGCAAGTCTATTGTTATCCACATCACAGGTACTAACTTTGTCCCAGTTTCTGAACTGCCCCCATCACAGCCCTCATCGCCTTCCCGAGAAAAGGCAAACCTGTTCCAATTGCCGGGAAAGCGACAGATTTGTACATCCTTAGCTCACACTCATGAAGGACTTTGGAGACCTGACTCTTCACGTCGTCACTGGGAAACAAGTGGATGATTTTGCTGCACAACAGTTTTCCACCTTGCGTAGTAATAAAGCCACTTTGAGACTGCTCAGCTGAAAGAGGGAAGATAAAGAAGGAGACATAACATTTTCAAAGCAGCTATCTCTTCTGATATGACAGCTGGTTGTATTGATGCTAGTGTACAACGGAATAATACACACTACAAGAGAAGTGGAAAAAGTGGAAAGAAATCCACTGTGAGCTATATTATCCTGGTTTTTGCTGATTCTGGTTTTCTCTGTAAATATTCTGATTGTAGAATTTCTTTGAGAAAGTAATTAAAATAATTGTGTGTTTTCTAACTTCCCGAGATCTCTGCTACAGAGTAGTTTCCTATTAAGTACATCTTACAAATTTATGTTGAATTTAAATATAACTCACTTTTATTTAAAAGTATGCCAACAGAACGTGCACAACTAATTTATATGATAAATCCTTTCTTATGTCCCTCATTCCTTGAAATCTCCAACTCTTATTCTGCAAAAGAGCTGAACGGTTAAAATAATATAATTACGAGAATGACTAACTGATCTAAGACCTGTGGTACGGATGTTTGTGTTTTTTCAGAGCACTCATGTTTGATTACAAACACCTCGAAATAGAGTCAGAATGTGAGGACGAATGGACTGATGAGCACAGAGTTACATACCACCCCACTGGTCACAAAGTTAACAACTCGTTATAAGATGCTCTGCATGCGCTGAGATCAGGCTGATAAATGGGGAAAGCCTGCAGAGCCAAAGGCTGGGAAAAATATCCACAAAACTCCATCTTGAAAGGTACCTTCTGGACTCAGAGCAGGAACATCTTGTTTATGCAACCAGTATGTGTTCCTTCCTGTGCTCAACCACAGTGAGCTGGGATTTTACTGCTCTACTGGTCTGGCAGAAAGCCGGCTACAGATGAACTCATAATCAGGGTGATAAGCACAGTTACCTTATTTCAATAAAAAATAATTATGTATTTGTGAATATAAGCCCAGATTTGCTATTAGCTTTTAAAAGCCAGTCCTGCACGTGCTTACACCAAAAGACAAGTCTTCCACCACTTCATTCAGTTTCAAAACTTCAGTTCCCCTGTAGCTGACAATAGGTGAGCTTAAATATCATGCTCAAGTCAATGGGACTGTTTCTGTTCTTAAGGCAGGAACATGCATGAATAATTTCAGGGGTAAAGAACTTAAATTAGATTCATTTCCAAGCATTTATTAGCATCAGAAAACTGTATCCATCTTCTGTTCAGTTGTGACAAGAAAAATTCTCAAAGCAGGTGTCACAACAACAACAACAACAACAGGACTTTTCAGAATTCCTAAAAGCAAAAGATAATTTTTCAGATTAAATAATTATACCATCAGAGTAGAGAATTATAAAAGGACTTAAGTTTTCAGAGAGAACACAAAAATAATTTAATCAAACAAAATAGTATGCTTTCACATACCATGTTGATTAAATTCGTCTTCTATCTCGGAACCAGCAGCATCCATAATTGCTTTGAAGACCCCTTAAATCATACAACAAAAGCATATGTATTCATGAAGTCAGTTTAGCTATTTCTACTCAAAGCTCTACCCAACTTCTGTGCTCTAAAAACACTCCAAATTCTCATATGGCAAGATCCCACAAAGTGCAGAACCTTGCCAGTTCCCCTCAGCACCCTCCATGACACACTGTACTGGCTGCAAAGAGAACATTGCCTTAATTATTGATTAGAAATCATTAAGGATAACTCCTATTTAATTGTGTCACCAGCCAATACTATGCCCCTCACCAAACTCTGATTGCTTGGAATGATATCATTTGATGTCCTTTATGCTTGCCATTCACAACATTGCCAAGGAATCCTCTGCTTCTTACACGTCAAGTTACTTAACCAGGGCTTTGGCTTACAGTGAAACATATTAGGACAAGAGCAGTTTTGCAGAATTATATTTGATCTAAAAATTCCCTTATGTAAGCATTTTTGTTTACAAACAAGAAAAATCTGGTCAGATGCCTTCTGTCTGAGTAGTTTGGAAACTAAATGAAATATTTGGGACATGTAAAAAACTTGTTTAAGATCTATTTCCTGACTAATCACAACTGTCTCTCTCTCATCTGAAAAATACTTCATAAAAGTTTCACATGTGGGCAATTCTTTCCTCTCCCCCCCTTCTAAAAACTAGCACAAGTTTATCACTAAAGAGCTACATATTCAATACAATACCTGAAATGGCATCAAAGGTTGGATTTGATATGCTTACAATAACCTCTGTATCCTCCTTGGTAATATCTCCACTAATTACTTGGAGTGTAATGGCACCAATCTGCATTTCATGAACTCCCAGTTCTTCAGTTGAAACATGCCTAATGAAACCTGCAAGGGAAGGAAAAACACCTTAAAACACTTCTCCTCTAGTTTGGGGTATTATTCTCTTCCATTGATGGAAACTTCAACTCTTCCTTTTGAGAAATATGCTCTAGATCAGTTTGATGGACCTAGAGAGTCCCTGCCTTTCTCTTTACTCCACTTCTGAAAGCAGGAAGGTGCAGTATTCCTCCCGTTATTTCTTTCCCTGTGAAAGTGAAACTATTTGTATTTCTGTAAATATAAATTCAGAAAGGACTCTTGGGGTTATCTGATCTGACCAGCTTTGTAACAGAGTTTCCTGCATTTCCTCTTACAAGAAATGGGAGTATCCAGCTGAAGCACTGCCACTAAGGGAGATCCCATCACACTGCTTTTGTAAGTTATTTCACCTTTACCCTCACAGATATAAAACTGTTCCTTAGTTCTAGTCTAAACCTATCTAATTCATATTTTATCTGCACACTGTAACTTCATCTCACTGATACTCACAGCAATTGAGAAGAGAGCTATATATTCTTACGAATAAGCCTCTGCCATTGACGCAGTTCACTCAGACATTTTTGCTACTGTGTCACACTACTGTCAATTAATAAATGGAAATTATCCATTCTGTATATCTCTATATAGGAGATTAAAGGCACAGAAATACATGTTATTTATGGCTTGTTTGGCAAAGTGATACCAAGTTCTTATACCCTTTGAGTACAAAGGGTACAAATGACGGTTCTCCTACCAGAATATCCTCTTGCATGTGATGACTGGTCTCACGAAGAGATGAGCATGCCCTCAACAAAATAAATACATCTTTAAGATTTTTACATCTTTTTTAATGGAGTTTAAGAATGCCAGCCCATTAGGAGGAAAAAAAAATGCTTTGCGTCTTGATGACATTTTGTCTGTTTCCTGATAGGTATAAAACCATATTACAGTATTTATATTCTCCCCTGTGTCCCACCTCCAGCCCCTACACAACTTACTTGGCTGTGGTGCTGCAGCATGGCAACTTTCAGCTACCCTATGTTTTAGTTCAGTGGTAAAAGCCTAAGAAGAGAAAAAAAAGGTACCAAAGTTAGTATTTCAGAGTTTATATACCGAATATTTCTATAATTAACACTAACAGTTATATAGCTCTTGCTGAGCCATCTGACACATTTCACAATCGTGTTTAGGTATCATTAACAACAGGGGAAGCCTCAGCATGGACGGTGTAATAACAGATACCATCTTCAAGTTGCCAGAACTCCTCCGTAAAAAGATGAGTGAGCATCTACAGGTTTTTATGGTGCCAGCAGTGAGGCCAATTTTGTCCGCAGCTTGTGCTTGCTGAGAGTTTGTATTTCAGAGACACTGAATGACACAGTGGAGAGACATCCCACTGTCACTGGCCCACAGTAGTAAGTGCTAAATTATCCCCGTAAGAAAGCAATATAACTAAAATATATCGTTAGGGCATAACTAGCACAGTATGTAACATACATGGCTTTGTCCTGAGAAGAACTACCTGAATGTTATCCGTATCTTTTGGCTTCAAGAGAAAATGAACTTCCTGAAGAGTCTTCCGAGTGTGGCTGCTACTGAACTTGAATGCCACATCAAACATTAACTTAGAAACAACAGTTTTAGGAAATCCAAATCCTCCAGTTCCAATAGCTGGTAAAGTGATCGAATTCAGCCCAAGTGCTTCAGTTTTCTTCAAGCAGAAATTGATTATATCTTCTAGATGCTGTAAAACAAAGCAAAGATTTTTCTTTTTTTTTTCAAAAAGGCATCATTTATTCTTAGTTCCATAGAAACTATGCTGGTATGAGTAAAAGCTCTCAGTGCATCAAGGCATCTTTAAGGTCATTCAAACAGAAGTAAATGGAGTTGAGTCATCTAAGCTAACTATTTTAAATCCTGAAACTTCAGGATAGGATCCCAAATAAATCTGTTTTCAAAATAAATTTTTTTTAATTATTAAAATGTACCTTCAGGGCCTGTCCTTTTCCTCCATCCCACACGGGAAGTATGGCATGAAACACGGACTTGCAGGCCAGAGCACATCCACTGGTGCAGAGCACACTCCCTTGACCAGCAGCCTGTGTTTGTTTTTCTTTGTCAAACTCTGCTTGGAGTGCTGGTCCAGCCTTTTCCAGCAAGGCTTTGCAAAGAGGCCCCACACCAAACTTCAGATCTGTGCCAACACTGTTGACAATAACATCCGTCTGCAACAAAATTTCAACGAAAATATCAATAGCCAGACTTCAAGTAAAAATATGCATTGAGACTAATAGGAACACAGAGCATGAAAAACAAGATACCAATGGAGAAATAACCTGGTTTTCAGCACAGCTTCTGCATACTGAATATACTGCAGGAAACCTACCACAGGCTGCATCAGAGCCACTGTGAGTAAAAAAAAAATACTTTTAGAAAGTATTTTACTATTTCCCTTTTAGAAAAAAAGCAAACATATTGACCTTAGATCTGGAGAACAAATAAAGCCTAGCTGGGAAAGAAACATGCCAAAATTCAAAGCTGCCCACTAGAAACAGCTGCAGAGTGCCAGATCCCAACCTGAAATCCATCAGTTTTGCAAGCTTGCATCCTTGTTTAGGCAGCACATAGCCACTGTTCCCTTACATAGCAATTGCCTTGTAAAACAATATAACCTCCTGTTATTCCTTTTCTATTTAAATTTAAATAAGATCTTCACATCAAGTTAGAAAGGAACTGGAAAATTAAAGACCTACCGTGGCCTCCTGAACATTTTTCTCCTCCACTCGGATGCGCAGTCCTTCCTTTGTCGTAACCATGTGCAGATCCTCTTTTCTCTTCTCCTTCTGGGTTTCTCTTGGCTTACAGTCTACCAAGCGCGGCGTCGGCAGTTTCGGGGGAGAGGTCTTAGCTGTAAACACTTTTTTTACTGTCTCACTCAGAACCTGAACTGTTTCTTCTGCATAATCCACCAGATGAACCTCCTTCAAGCTGCTGTCCCCCATGAACTCTTCCAAGGTCTCCTTAATGGAGGATACAATTGAATCTGCACATGTCTGCAGTGGGAAGCCAAAAAACCCTCCACTTATAGCAGGCAGAGCTATAGAATGATGATTGTATGTTTCGGCTAATCGTAGACTGTTCTTCACTGTCTTTCTTAACAAGTTCACGCAGTCTTCTGCTGCTTGCTTCCTCCACCTGGGCCCCACAGCATGAATGACGTTCTTGCAGGGGAGTCTCCCAGGACCCGTGATAACTGCGCGCCCAGGCTGAAATTTCCCATGCTTCCTCACCAGCTCGTCACACTCCTGCTGCAGCTCCGGACCAGCTGCTTTTGACAGTACCTCAGCAAGGCCACCGATGTGTTTTAAGTCTTCATTAGATGCATTTACCACAACATCAACGGGGTAATTACACAAGTTACCATTATACACTGCTACTACCACTCCATCTGGCAGCACTTTCTTGTAGCTGAGCTTTCTTTTCTCTTTATTGACGTTTTCACCCTTCTGTTGCTGTTGTTGTTGCTGTTGCTCTTCTTCTTCTTCCAGCCTAATCAAACAGTTAAATTTCTGCTTTGCCTCCAAAACACATGAATCTTTCCTCTCAGAGAAGAACTCTCTGGCTCCTGGTTTATCAATTGGCACATTTTTTGAGTAAAGGGATGAGATAATTTTTTCAAATGTAGTGACTGCTTTTGGCACTTCTGCTCTTGGTCCACTCAGGGAAAAACATGGTGTCTTGGTGTCAAAATGTACTGTCACGCCTTTCTTCCTCAATTCAAGACAAACACTGGATTTTTCCTTCTCTACAAACTGCACTACCACTACCGACTTAGCCGGGATTACTTTTTCTACGTGTGTGTTTCTATCTATAAAATCATTAAGTTTCTGATAAACTGCTGTTACGGGCTTAGAAAAGCCAACAATAATCACTTGATTTTCTTTTCCAGCAGGTTCATCAATGACTAGAGTTTCCTGGGAAGAACTGTACTTCTTAAGCAAGGAGGCAAGAAGACTCCTCCACTGCTCCTTTTTAATGACCTCACCGTCCTCCACATTGATGCACTCATATCGTAAGCCTGTCTTTATTTGCTTTTCTGCTTCTATAAGATCTTTGGGAGCATCTCCAAATAGCAACACAGTATCATTCTCAAGCTCATAAAAAGCATTAATTTTTTTCCTAGTGAATAATGACTCTGACATTGGTTTATTATCTACACGCTGTAGATAGCAGAAAACATGGGGATCAATGGTAACTGATGTAGATGGCATGTTCAATACCTTTTCCAGTAATTCAGCTTTGCTTTTATATACTTCCGCAGGTAATCCACACAACTGAACAGTTTTTTTGTTCTCATCATAAAAGATCTTTAAGCACGGATATTCTCTGTGAATATTCTCTTCTAGCCCAGCATTGTGCAGAACAGCATACTTCCCTGGCTTTACCGACACAGAAATTTCTATGCTTTGTTTTTTCCTTTCACTCTCCTTCATAGCTTTTTCCATGCATTCCCTCACTTCCTTCTCTGCATTGTCCACTGCTGCTCTTTTGCCTGCAATCACCACCATCTCCTCAGAAATATCAGTTATGATCAAAGCAACATCTTTCACCAATCTGTTTTTCACATCTTCCCAATCCACTGAATGTACTTTACATTTTATAGCTATGTAACGTGACATGATACGTGAGAACTCAGTAGAAGCATCTTGCTTCCATGTCTTGATCAACTTAATCATTGGGTTTTTCTGCTTGGAGAGAGATGACGACGGGCACAACATAATTTCTGGGTGTGCACAGTCTGTCTGTGGCCATTTTAGCTCACAATGGCAAACTGCCATTTCCTGATTTATGTCTTGGATCAGTTGAGCCTGCCTTTGTAAAAACTGCCAGATATATGGATCTAGTGGCACCCCAAAGGGGTCTGGCATCCTGATAGTTGGTCTTTCTTCTCCATAGAGAGCTGTTCCCAGGGAGTGGTAATACGGATACACAGAAATCTGTGTCTGTTCCAGTAAATGCTTCTTTTTCAAGACAGTGTTTACATCTAAAAGTTAGCACACACAGACAAACACATATATAATTAACTTCAAGTCAAGCAAATGACTCTGTTCTTAGAACTATTGTATTGAATAAAATAACTTTGTTTGTTTTTTTTTTTCATTTGAAATAGATATTTTTGTGTCTTTCTGATTTCCAAACCACTCTGTAGTGGACAAGATAAAAAACTTGGCTCCAATCAGTTTGGTAAATATGCTTGTGCCTGTACTTACCTGTACAGCTATGCCTTGCTCTCATTCCCTAAGGAAACCCCATCACAGAACAGAGCCATATCAAGTTACTATTACGAAATGCTCTTTGCTCTCAACTTAAAATAAAGCTCTTTATGCCAGTGCTTTTTTACCTTTTTTTTTTTCCCATTTCAGTTGGAATGGGCAAAGGCAGAGACTTAAAACAATGATCCAAATTACATATTAACTTAATGTACAAAATACTCTTAAGCAAATTCTGAGAGTCAGAAGAAAAATAATCACCTGGCAGATACCTTTAGTTAAAGTAAAGGAATTTACTAAGACAGGAGTCTCCCAACAAAGAGATATCTACCAAAGGTAGTCCTGGCACAAAAACGGGACAGTGATCAATGCAACAAATAGTAACAGGATCATTGTTTAGTTCTGTTCTTCCCTGATAATGAACATATTTGACCTTAATTAGTTTCTGAAAGCTAACTGTGAAAGCTGAAGCCATTAACAAATCCTGCTTCCTCTCCCTGCAAGTACAATTCATGTTGTATTGCAGATAAAAACCTCTGTAAATGGCGAAAAAACATCAGTGGGAACAACCCATGCACAAAGCAGGTATTAAAATGAACCTTTGGTAACATAAAAAAACAGAGAGATTCTGAAACGCCAGACATGCAGCAGTATTTCTAAATCCAGAGCAGTTCCCAGGAACAGGACAGTGTACGCTGGCTTTAGCGACAGCAAGCCAGGCTTCTCCTAATGCCTACATTTGTAGTAATTTTATTTCAGGTCCTTCACCTGGGAGCCCTTTGGTCAGGCAAAGAACAGTGTTACCTTTGTGATCACAGAAAGTAATGATGGCCGAGTTCTCCTCAGGGAAGAGCTGGACGTCAGACACAGGTCCCCCTCCGTTCCGCACACTCTCAAAGTAAATGGTGATGTAGTCTGTGGAAACGCTGGCTGGTATGTTTTCAGCCTTGATGCTCTGGGTCAATTCAAGAAGCCTGGCAGTAATTTTGAATTCTTTAATTCTTTTGTTTTGCAAACATTTTTTGACTAGTTCTTCAGTATCTGTAAACAGAAAAGCAGTATGAACAGACTGTTTTCCTGCATCATTATCAAAACCAGCCATCACTTCTGGGAAAGAAATGAGCTGAGTCTACTTCTCCCTGTATTTGGAGCAAAACTGTCTTGGGTGACAAAGAACTCTCTGTTGTAACAAAAAAGGGGAAATGCACACGGCCATGTTACCCTATGCTATGCACTACCACTATGTCTGTGTTCCCCTCTTACTTGCGTCTTGAATAAACTAAACACTTCCCACTGTCTTCTCAAATGGAGACAGTAATGGCAGAACTCATCTCCACACTCAGTCTGCTTCTAGTTCTCCTCCATCTAACCCAAAATAAGATAGAGACAATGAAACATTCTTATCCAATTTCAATTAACAAAGATGCCACAATTTTCTTTTTTCAGTGTAACATTCAGACACAGGCATTTTCATGGAGCTGTATATAAGACTTACATCTTTCTTCAGAGAGTACAGTCCAGGTAATTTTTAGAGATTCAGGTACTGTCTGAATCTCTAACGGGAAAGGAATCAAGCTCCGAAAGCTATTACTCATACATAGACATGGAAATTAACAATGGTGTTCATCCTGTCTTACCGATACTTTTTATAAAGGTAGCTACGGCAACATTTATTTCAGGTATCACTTCCACAGTGAAGTCATCATCTACTGCCAGGCCACTGATGTTCTCCAACAGCATACGTAAGCATTTTGGACTGCATCCTTGTATGTTTTCAAACACCACCAAAGGCGAGGTCTCTGTGGGCTTTTCTGCAACGTCCTCTGCAGAGCCAGCTTCCTCCTGGAGTTCACTGTTCGGAACAAAGCTCTCTGCTTTCTGCAAGGCTTCTGCATCTTCTTCAACAGAAAGAGAAATAAACCATGTGACATATTGGTACACATTTCCTGGAATTAACAGATTTTGCTTACCATTTCTCTCCTTTCCTTTCCCAAGAGATCATCCAACCAATCAAATACTGCAGGGTACCCTGGGACATTCTGGGATCCAGAACAGCTCAGATGCAATATTCTGCAGGGCTGCAGCAGCTTCTTTGGTGGCGTAATAGCCATGAGCAAACAAGTCCAGGGTCACTGGTATGTCTCCAGGTCAGAGACACAGATAGAATAAAATCAAATAAATAAACTAAAATCCATTGAGATAACTGGCCATGGCTGCTCAGGCATTGGTAAGGGTTGTGAGGGACCCTGCAGCCTCTGCATCTGTTTCTTAGCCCTGGTGCAGGTGTAACAAGCCTGAACGTAGCTCAGGACACCTGCAGCACCACAGGCCACCCGTTGCTCTGTGTGACCCCGTGCAAAGCCCCCTGATGACCACTGAGCCCTGCCAGCAGCACGGCATGACAGCGCCGTAGGACCCATGTGTGCAGGAGGCTGGCAGGAAAGCCACAAAAATTTTGAGGATAGAAACTATAACAGGGCTGCCCACTGAGTACCCCAGAAGTCCAGCGGCTGCCGGAGGAAGGCATGTCTCCATCTTTGCAGACAGGTGAGGGTAGAAGCAGGAGAGAACCTCCGAAACAGGAACAACGTGCCTGAGCAAACTAAAAGTGTCACCCAGGTATGTGGTGACACAACTGTCCAACAAGTCACAGGAAAGGGCAGTGACAGAGCGCTGCAGGGTGGCGGGGGACTGGCAGGAGCCAAAGGGCACCCCGGGGTGCTCAAGATGACCATCCTCGCAAGCAAAGGCAGCTCTCCACTCCTCGCCCCAACGAGCACAAGCAGGAGCATAAGCCCCTCTCAGTTTGACAAACCAGCACATCCCTGTGCCGTGGTGGGCAGACGAGCATGGAGTGAAACCCTGGCACTCACCACCCTCAGTGTAAACCTCCAGGGCCGCCATCTCTGGCTGCCACAGAGGACAGGCACAGCCAAGGGACAAGGAGCTCGGTGGAGCAGTCGTACAGCTGAGGAGGGACGCGGGGGCAAGGGTCTCCAGCTTGTTTGTTCTCAAGAACATCCAAAAATCCCTCAGTCCCGGGGCAGCGCCCAGCAGGCCGGGGGTGGGGAGCAGCCCCAAGGAGGGAGCCGGCCACAGGGCGGGAAGGCTGGAGCCGGCGGCAGCACCACAGGCCGCTCTGACCGCTCGCCCGTCCACAGGCTCTCCTGAGGTACAGCCACAACCGACACCAAACCCGTAACATTCACAGAAGAGAGCTGCCTCTGAAGGCCTACCAGCATAAACCCAACAAGAGGAAAACAAAAGAAATAACCACAGAAGCCATAGCTCTGCAGAGGCTAAGTTACTAATTTCTAGATCGCCAACAGGAAATATCTGCTCCGCTATGCCCAAGGAAGTACAAAATGGCAAAACCGAAAGCTAGTATAACTCTAGATAGTTACACTCACTGGTGTAACTAAAAAATAGATGACAGCTTTGAGTATCTGATTTTGAAAGGAGGAAAACCCCACAAAAACGGCACCAAACAAGACTTCATAAGGAAAGGGAAGGAGAGGGGGGCAATCACTGAAGAGCTTCCTGATTAGCTGCCCTGTCTTGGGGCTGGGTGTTTACTCTTCACAGATGTGGGGTATGCAGTCACGTTCTCTAGATCGCTTTTTGAATCATGCAGCTTAGCAGAACATAGCTGGAAGAAGATCGAACCAAAGCCACTGAGGTGCTGGGGAGATGCACCACGTGGCTTTACAGACTCCTAACTGCAGGGAGCACAAAGACACCACCCTGGGTCTAAGACCTTCGTCAGCTGTTTCCATCCAGGTCTTATCTTTGAGCAGTTACGCAGGGTAAGGGAACTAAAGTCCATCCTTGGTGATGAGTTTTTTGTTTTCTGAAGAATCAGCAGAGCTATGGATAACATTTTTACCTTTTGTTTCAAGGTTGCTCATGGCATCCAGAGCCTAAAATAAAAGGAAAGGAAAATATCAGTGACTGATTTGACAGTCTCACCACTGTCTCAAAGCTCTAGTTAGGATTACAATTTTTATTCACCTTTGTAGGAACTAATTTTTCTTCAAATGCTTCCTCTTCATCAGCCTGTGCTGTTTCAGGCTCTGTGACAGTCAGCTTCAATTTTCCTTTCTCTCCCAAAGACAGCTCATGAGAATGCCTCTCAAGAACTCGTTGCTTCACTAAATAAAATCAAAAAGCCCCAGTGACAATCTGAATAGAAATACAACTTTAAATTACATAGCACTTTTTCACCATTACATTAGGACACATATACCATCCCACAAAATGAAAGAGCTTTAAACTTATGATGCTAAAACAGCATGCACGAGGCTTTCCTCATGAAAAGAAATTGAAGAACAGCAGAGGATATTATTTCTGGAAAAAAACTCCAACAGAGGTGAGAAGCTCACCTCCACTGGATATTTCCTGGCCAGTGCCTGGCTGGCAGCCCTGCACTGGGGCTACAGCACCAGGGTGCCAGTGCCGGCCCCATGCCTTGCACACCCTCTTCCAGACAGTGTCAAAATGGCTTGGGGCTGTATGTCCTGAACTTACCAACAGGGCGAGTCTGCAACTGAGAAGCATGGTAAGGAAGAAAGAAAAAACAGTGTACATATGTGTGTGTTTATGCACATATATGTACATGCATGGGTGCGTATACATTTAATGCAACTGCAGCTAAAAGGTTTCTACCTTGCTGCAAGTTTCTGTAGATACAATATATATTAAGTTACACTAACATAAGCTTTATTGTTCCAAGTGCAATCTAGAGAATACTACTGCGCATCAAAATTTATATACGTATGTATATATATATATACCTGGTAGGATATATTTATTAACTTACAGCCCAGAGTTATTCAAAATGCAATCTAGAAGCTAAACCTAAGCACCGAATTTAAGCATATATATAAGCAAACACACATTATATATTCTATATGGCCTCCTACAGGATGTCTATGACATATTAGATACTATAGATTTGCATATTACATACTAGACAGTATACTTTGGATCAGATGCAATAATTAAGTCAGTACACATACTTCAACTTGCAGAAAGTTACAGCTTGCGACTTCCAGCTCACAACACACTCGCTGCTGTAGGGACCCGACACACGAACCCGCTTCCCGGCCCCTCCGCCCGGGGGGAGACGGGCAGCCCTGGGCCCCCCTGACCGCGCCGCCCCAGACCCCCT